TCTCTCTCTCTCTCTCTCACACACACACACACACATACGCACATACACAGACTCACTTACTCACATAACTACAACTACAACTATAATATAATAATATAATATCCCTTTCCTGCAAAGTCTGTCTATCTCCCTCATTTGACCTGCCTTGACTTTCCCTTTTCCTGTGACAACAATACATTGATTTTATATCTGCTGGCCTGTTCTCGAGGAATAAAGATAATCGTATCACGTGTTGAACACCCAGCATCGTCAAGTCCCCATAAAGCACGATTCGGCAACAGTTACGTACGCCCTCTCCTCCCCCCCCCCCTCTCTCTCTCTCTCTCTCTCTCTCTCTCTCTCTCTCTCTCTCTCTCTCTCCCTCTCCCCCTTTCAACCTCTTTTTCCACCATGTCCTCCCCCAACCTCCTTTTAAAACTGCTTACTTTGTATACAACATCCTGGGTCACACAGTGGGGGTCCACAGTTGGTTTGCAGAAAGGACCTTACTACAGTATAACACGGATAGCTCGAATTCGTCAGGACCAGCCTCGGTAGTTCGAGGGATCCGTAGTTTGAGGGGTATCCTATAATGATAAAGAAGGAGAAAAAAAACACGGGACCGCGGGCACAGTTCGGAGGATATGTGATTTCGAATCTTCCGTGTTCGTCCTATCCGTGTTATAGTGTAGGCTATATGTGAGGCAGCGTGGTGGAATCCGGCTCTTGTCAATCTTTGGGCACATCGAGTTATTGGTATCATCTTAAAGCTTGTTCACTTTTCTTTATTAGGATGGAAAAAATATCCGTTTATCTCAAATACAAGTCGTGATATTTGAGAATGAATGAGGTGGGGGTCACCGGTTTCAGAGGTAAAATGAGTGAGAAAATGGCCCCCAAAGATTAGCTATTTCCTTAGCTTAAGAGTCCGTGGTAACTGAAAATGTACACCTTTTGTGCCTTTAATCAACGTGTTTAAAAAAAATCCACACAGAAATGAGTTCTGGCATGAAAGGTGTTGAACCCAAAAACATAAATTTGATAAAAATTCACAAACCTGCGAAAAAATGCAAGTTTCTTCTCTTTGATTATTTTGACGAGAGCCTGATTCCACCACGCTGCCTCACATATACCATCCTCGGGCTTGCAGCTATATCTTCTGAGGGTTTAATTAATCGCCGTGATGCGTGTAGACATTGATGGTGGAGTTCTATTTTACATTTTCCCCCGATTCGTTCAATGCCGTCGTCATGCTGCATGCAGGGTATAATCGCCGTGACGCAGGGTTTAGTCGTGTAGACATGGGTGGTGGAGTTCTCCTTTACTTTTCCCCCAAGGTTCGTCCGATGCCGTCCCGTCGTCGTGTGTGACTGTGACTCACCAGTCTGTGAACCCCGGCATGGAGAACGTTTTGGCAAAGGTCTGAACCTCTTCCTTCAGGGTTGCAATCTTTTGCTGGATCTCGCTGTCCTCCAGCACGAATGTTTTAAACTCATTCAACGTTTCTGTAGGAAAAAGAGATTGTATGAAGTGTTTTAGTTTCTGTAGGCTTATAGATGAGGACGATGTAACCAGAAATATAATAGCTATGATAAGCCTAGTAAAATCGGTCAAAACAGGGGGCTATAGTGATGCTTGCTATTGTTTTTTGTCTTGTTTTGTTGTCTGGGTATGAAAAAAAAAATGGATGGGAAGCAATGAATAGAGACACCATCATAATATTAATATTATCGTATCAAGTGTAGGCCTATATGTGTGACTTTTATTGAGTAAATTAAGAGCCTTAAAAAAACGTGGGGTAAAATTGTAACGTTAGATGTGACCCCATACCCGCCCCCCCCCCCCCCTCTCTCAAT